AACAATGTTTGATATTGTAGATAAAATGTCAGACCTTGAAAACTCCATTCTAGGTTAGACTGCCCCTGTGACTGACTGGGCTTTGAAATGAACAAGAAAATGATAAGGAGAGCAAGCACAAAGGGATTTAAGCTTACAGAAACATTTTCCCTACTTGATCATTGAGGAAAGTTTCTAAAATACATTAAGGATTTTTCTATTTCTAGATATTTGTTGTAGTCGAGGTCTGGACTATCTCCTAAAAGGTTTAGGTGTTCATAAACAGTGCCATTCAAAGGTGATTGAATCACAAAGGCAATGCACTGATCCATGGGTTAATCCACTGTGGATTCCATAGCCAAGTGTTCTGTTAAAAGGTGGGGGACATCACTGGAAGAGATAAATCACTGGGGTCAAGAGCTGGAAGGGTTGGTCTGCCACCCAGCCCCCTGCCATGTCCTCTTCCTCGTGTCCACGCAGGAAGCAGCTTTGCCCTGCACAGATCCTTCAAACATGCCCTTCCCCCCATCACCAGCCTTCTGTGGACTGAACACATGAGCCACAGTAACTGCTCCTTTCACTTCTTAGTCCCAGTAATAAGCACTGACTAACATAATCAGTGACATAATCCTGAGATATCTTCAGTAGTATTGTCTCTGCTACTTACTTATGTCTGATAAAACTAAAAGAAATACATGGTAATATTTTACCTTTACTTCATTCCTCAAAAATAGACCTGCCTTTGTACCTTCGTTAAGAAAACATGAGGATTTTATTATCTGTTTATGAACTATGCTTTTACAAAGAAAAGACAAATAGGGTGAAGGAGAGAAAGGAACAGGGAAGAAATAAAGGAAGCATGGATGAAGAGGAGCAGGAGCTCCTCCAATGAACTTCTGGCAACACATTACTTTTTCTCAGAAGAATATGGAGAAGGAAGGCCAGTCATTATTTAAATACAGATATGTTTTTATGTCTACACTCTAGCCAAAGAGTTAGAAAACTTCCTAAACCAACACTTGGTAAGAGCGAAGCTTAGTGATTCAGTCATCTTTGTTTTAAAGTGAATAGAACAGAGCAAAGCAAAACAAAACAAAGCAGATCAGAGAAAAACAATTCAAATAAACACAGCAAGAAATCAGCAGTGGCTACCATAATGTCTCTTTTTTTCTCTGAAATAGTAGTCCATACCTTCACCATACAATAAGTTAATACAAATCCAAATAGTATAAAAGCATCAAAACAAAGAATGAGAGCCTTACAGGCACTGGGAAATCAATAATGGCTATCATAATGTCTCTTGTTTTCTTCAAAATAGCTATCCGTACATTCACACATATTGAAATCAAATAAATACATACAGACTAAAGTCAGTCACAACCAAAAATAAAAGCATTGTTGGATTTCAAAACAAAATGATAGGAAATCATCAATGGCTACCTTAATACTCCTTTCCTTCAATGTAGCTGTTCGTAGCATCATACATAATAAAATCAATTCTTGAAACTCTTTAGGTGAAGTTCTAGGCACATATAAGCCTATGCATGTACATCTATCCTTTCTGTATTAGAGGGAAAAACAAAACAAAACAAAGTGTAAGAAAAACAAAAAACAAGAGCCTAATAAATAACTATAACAAAGAGCCCAAAACATTAACAATATAGACTTTCAGAACATGGCCGAACAAACATAATAAATTTTGTTGTTTTGCATAGTTATTTTCAAAAGTTTTGCTTAGATTACCAGATATAGCCATGCAAAATTGATCTAATCGTATGAATGTTAACTGTTTTGTTCTGAAAACTAATAGAATTAGTAGTACAATCATCTTAGCAATCTAAAGTGTATATATACAAATTTATATCCTTTTTTCTTTGCTCTTCCTTCTTTTCTCCTTTTCCCTACCCTGAGTTATTTTTTTTCCTCTTTGAGCAGTTTCTTACCCTTTTACAATAGCTATGGTAAATTTTGGATCTTACTTACTTTTTCAGTTTCTTATAATAGGGAGACAGCATGATATTTACACGTGTAAGTTTAATTTATTTCATTTATGAGTATGCTCTCAAGTCTCATCCATTTACCTCTAAAAGCCTCAATGTGGTCTTTCTTTATAGCTGAGTAGTATTCCATTGTATAAAAATACCACATCTTTTTTATTCACTCAGTGACTGATGGGCTTTGGGGTTGTTTCCAAAATTTAGCTTTTACAAATTGTTCTGCTATAAACTTGAGGGCACATGTATCACTGTGGTATGATGTTTTTAGTTCTTCTGGGAATATGCCCAGAAGTGGGATAGGTAGATCAAATGGGTGACTCAGTCATCTTTATAGTGAAATCTGGTGTCAGTCTCAGTTACAAAAGTTTCTTGAGAGATGAGATTTTGGTACTTTCAAATATATTTATCCAAAAATATAATTATTGTAAATAATTCTATATCAGAACCAGAAGGATCGCTGCCTTTATGAAGCAAGGCTGGGGGTACTTGTACTTGAAGCCTCAAGAGAATTACCCTGGGCACATTTAAAAATAAAAGAAAATAAATTAAGGAACCTCTCCATTAGGCTTTCTCTTGGATGAAGGTCCATCATTTTTACAATATAAAATCCTGGGTAGCATTGTAAAGTAGGCAATTTAGTTTTGAAGCACGAATATATTTTTTCTGTGATTTTCTAGTAGCCTCTTTCATCAGTTTTCCAGGAAATATATACTTTCACAGAACTCTGAGTATACAAATTTCAAGAGTAATTATTTGATCTGCAGACTACAAAGTTATTTGTTCTTCTTCATCTTCCTCCATATTATCATTTTTCCATGTAACCTTCCTCTTCTCATAAACTCAGTTAATTTGAGATTGATTCTTTGGTGAAACAATTTGATAAAATTATATTATAAAGATATGATGAATTTATAGGCAAAAATTGCTAAGAAGAATTAGTGCTATAAAATAAAAGGAAAAGTAGGTGCTCTAAATTGAAGTTATTGTAATTAATGCTTTAGTAGAACATCTAAACATGTGTGAATGACCTCACAAGACAGTCAGGCAACATGTGTCTAACATGGGCTAAACTTGAAAACAGGACCATTGAAAACATTATTTCCCCCAAAATTCATTTTATTTGAGCTCATATTTTCTGAAAACTAAATATATAATAAAAATTACTGTAAGTCAAGTGGTATTTTTATTCCAGAGCCATATATTTTAAATAAAATTACAATAAGGAGTACCAAAAACCCCTCAAATTACCAATGAACTGCAAGGATAATTGTATTAAGAAAAGTTAATCTTATTTAATTTTTCTAAACCACATACTCACAATAGTGAAACCTGTCATAAACTCCTTGTTTCTGAGTAAGTGAATTTTTGTGTGTGTGATAATGGGCACATATGTTCATTAACATACTGTCATAAATAGCTGTGTTAAATGTATTATGTATTCTGTGACATAAACAAGATGCTCAATATGAGGTTGTCATTAAAGTATAGGTCCAGGAAAGAACAAAAAAGCAATAAATGCTTTTTAATATAGTTGCCTGATCTTGAATTCTAAATTTATGCCTACCTTATTAATGCCACTTGTATGGAAATTGCAGGCATTATTCTTGGGAAGTATCTTGACATTCAACAGCATTAGAACTGCTTTCTGATTTCTCATCCTTAGTGTATCTTTTGTCAGGTGTTTGCTAGCTTGTGGTTTCTTTACTGTATAATGGAGGAGATATTGGAGTGATGGGAGAGACATTGACAGCCAACCAATCTACATCTAGTGAGCTTAGAGCAGGGTTCAGTTAATAGATGCCCTTCACCTGTTTTAGTTCCAGGTGTTTCTAAACTGGGTTTGAATTTAAAGATACAGGTAAATTAGGATGCTAATAAAATTGAAGTCTTTATCCTGATAGAAATGAAAACTGAAACAATTTAGGGGTATTTTTTAATGAAATAAAATGCTGCTTCAAAGGAAAGAATAAAGGAATGCTACAAGAAACTAGTCATTACCACTACATTTTTACCCAAGGTAGTGTAGGAGAAAATGGAATTAAGCAGTGGCATGGAAATTCAGTTAGACTCTAGGAATGATTAAATATTGAAAACAAGATTCTAAGGGGACATTGTAGAATCTTTAGCTTTAGAGTTTGTCCAAACTGAAATTGAAAGGATTTGAATTTGAATGATTTAGTTAGTACACACATTAGATCCAAAGTTCAACTCCATGACCTCCTGCAGCTTTTTCAAGGTCTTTGATTTAACAATCAAATGTTCTCACAAACACTATATATTGGCAGCCTTAAAAGTACATGCTTTAATTATATTTTTCCATCCCTTTGAGATTCTTCAATGACTCTTGTTCTCCCTACTCTTCAATTCCTCCTGTTAATTGCTGATACTCACTTATGTTTATGAAAACAAGACAAAAAACATCCAACTATGATATTGTTTCAGATATCCAAGCTCATGAGAAACATTTAAATGGAAATTAAGACGTTTCAGAGGTTTTAAGTAGTAGCTGTATTGACAAGCTCCTGCGGGTGGAATTTATTTATTTTAAAAACCCATTTGAGCTTTGTTCTAATTTTATCCACATTGTTGATATTTATTCTTTGTAAAGCACCATGTCTGCATAGATTTTCAGTCTATGATACCATAAAAAGAATGCAAATATAGAAATAGTTACCTAAATTTTACCTACCACCTTAGTGAGTATTGGTTCTTTAAAATATCTGATTTAATTTGAAAATATTAATTATTTCTGTTATCAGTATAACTGATATGATCATATCCATATTTATATTTTGTGAATTCTTAACCTTTCATAGTATTATTTTGGGCACAGTTGTTTCATTAATTGTGGGTGCTTGAAATAGATACTTCTTTTAACATAATACCCATGATTTCATGTTTACTTTTAGACACTTTTCTAAAAGCTCTTTTTTTTTGAAAATTTTTTATAAAGAAAAGACAGAGAATTGAACTCTAAATTTTCTTCAAATGTATAGCATATTTCCCTTTATTCTCCTATTTCAGGTTTCCAGATTAAAGCGTTCACGTCCCTGCACTTCCTGTCGGAACCTTCTGATGCTGTCACGATGCGGGGAGGAAACGTCCTTCTAAACTGCTCTGCAGAATCTGATCGAGGAGTCCCAGTCATCAAGTGGAAGAAAGATGGTATCCACCTAGGCTTGGGCCTGGATGAAAGGAAGCAGCAACTTCCCAATGGGTCTCTGTTGATACAAAACATCCTTCATTCCAGACACCATAAGCCAGATGAAGGAGTTTACCAATGTGAGGCATCTTTGGGAGATTCTGGATCAATTATTAGCCGGTCAGCAAAAGTTGCAGTAGCAGGTATGTGGATCTTTTCTCCTCCTCCACACCACCACCTCCTCATTTTCCTCCTCCTTCTCATCCCTTTTTGTTTCTTTCTGGGGCTAAGAAAATAATCTTTGTGAAAACAATGTTCATTTTAACTTTTAAATTGAAAAGTAATCATATTTTATGTGCCATAATGTGATGTTTTGGTATATGTATATATTGTGAAATGATTATATCAAACTGTTTAGCATATCCATCATCTCATGTAGTTAGTTTTTGTGATGAGAGTTTTGGAATTTACTCTTTTAGCAATGTTAAGACACATTTTGTTAACGATGCTCACAGTGCTGTGCGATATGTTTCAAAAGTGTATTCTTCCTATCTAACTAAAATAGTGTACCTTTTGTCAACATCTAATTGGTGACTACCTCTGATGATTACCATTCTATTGTTTCTTCTATGAATTTGACTTGTTCGACTCCACCTAAAGTGGGTTTTTCAATACTTTCTTTTCTGTGTCTGGCTTACTTCTTTCAGTGTAACATTCTCCAGATTCACACATGTTGTCTGAAATAACAGAATTTCCTTCTTTTTCAGGATTTAGATTGCTTCATAGTTTGATTTATCTTGGACATGTTTTGACTAAATCTGCAGTGAATTTGGGATTACAGATATTCCTATGCTATACTGATTTATTTCCTTTGCATACATATACTCAGTAGTGGGATTGCTACATCTAATGTAATTTCAATTTTGGGGGTATCTTCTTTCTGTTTTCATATTTACTGCATTCATTTACTTTCCTACCAACCATGTATATTTTTAAGAGAAAGGAAAAAAATTAAAATTAATTTTTCATGGTCTTAATGACTTTTCTCCTTAAATTAGTATAAGAAATAGTAAGAAAATCTCAATTACCAAAAAGTATTAACAGATATTTTTAAAGAAAAGCTGATTCAAATTAATTCATTGCTTGTGTGTATGGGAGGATTTTTTACTAATATAAAAATTAATAATTTTAAATTATTAACTAAAATATTTCTTAAAATGCCTTTTATAGCTATTTTTGAACTATTATGATTTATTTGGCCCACAGAGCGGTAAATTTAATGTAATTATAGTGGCACGATCTATAACATGTCATCCTCAAGTGAATAGTAAAAATTTTACCAGTCTTTCTAAATATTTCAATGCTTGGTAACAGACTGACTCATTAGCTGAATGATAGGATGATTTTATTTTCTATTTTAAATACAAACATGGAAGGTAGCTAGTCTCTGATAAAACTGTTTTGAATATTCTGAAGCTCACCATATCGTTATTTCTGCCCAATAATCTAGTCGGATTATTTCATATGGCCCCTACACTGTTAGAAGTGCAGGCAGTAGAATCTGAATTTTGCTTTTATTTGTTTCTATAATTAATTGACTAAAACCTGGAGTAAGCTGTTTTTATGATTTTGATATAGAACATTAAATAAGGCAAGTGCATCTAACCTGAACCAAACCTAAGCCATCTAATGGATAAACCAATGTTTGAAAATAAGTTTTCAAACTTATTTTTTTTTTAGTTCTCACTAAAAAACAAACAAATGAAAAAAAAAAAAAAAAAAAAAAAAAAAAAAAGAACTGAAAGACTGTTATCCAGCCATTTGATCATTTCCCAGACACACTTTAGTTTAGTCTCATCCAGAAGATTCACCAAACTGAGAATTCACTTTCAACAACGAATAACTAGAACACTTGAGGATTGCAATTCCCTTCACTCTTCTAGTAATGGTTCAAGTACATTCAAATCCAAAAGAGGTGATTTCAGTGGAAATGCTAGGAAGGTCTCAGAAATACCGTCAGTTCCCAAAGCCAACCTCACACCACTTTCCCCTCAACATTCCTGTGCTGACATCTGAACTTCCAGTGTAATAACTGGAGGTCATTAAGGCATGAGATTTATCAATGCCCGTGTAAGGGGAAATTCAGACAATTTGCTTCCTCTTTTTTTTTTTTTTTTTTTTTTTTTTGTCATGTGAGGACATTCAGGACATGAGCAGTCTATAGCCCAGAAGCAGACCTTCTACAAAGAGGAATCATGCTGGCATTCTGATCAGAATTTCCAGCCTCCAGAACTATGAAAACTAATTTCTGTCTGTCATAGGCCAACTGGTCTATGGATCTTTGTTTTGACTCTTCCACACCAGGTAAGACAGAGTGACTTCAGCAAACATGTCCTGGATGGTAAAGTTCACCTACAGGTGGAGTAGCCAAGCTCTCTGATTCATCCTGACTGACCTGGATTTAATATTTGAAAGTCTCAATTCCTGGGAAGCCTTTCAGTACTAGGTGAAACTAGGATTGTTACCCTGCCTGATTTAGCAATGACAGTTTAAGGAGACAAGTGAGGTGACATTTTGATCATGGAAACCAAGGCTTAAGCCACCTGGGACCTGTGAGTGAAGTGTGTCTGAAATTTGATTGATGAGCTTAATATGTGGAGAGGAATGAAAGTTAATGATAATTATGACTGATTAAGAGGAGCAAATGGAAAAGTGCCGGGGAGAGGGAAAAAACAGCATTCTTAGGATGCTTCAGATAAAGTGGGATGAACTCATGTGTGAGTTTCTGGACTAAAAGAACCCCACCCATCAGGTGTATGTAGTACCAGAAATTCTGAAAGGATTTCAATACATCAGGATGCCATTATGGCGCCTATTCTAAAAGGCAATCACCTAGGCACTGTTAATTAAAGCAGCCCTGATGTGCTGCCTTTTGGCTGTCTTGAAATCTGACTTTCCTTTTACATATTCTGTTGAAAATTCTGATGAAATGAAGAATGATTCTTTCCCTGTGAGATATTAAAATAAAGTGGCTTTGACTTTAGTATTCTGTACAAGGAAAGGCTCACAGATTCAGTCACTGAACTGCAATCTAATATTAGATGGTATCATTTCAAGGCAATAAGGCTGTTCATAGCATTTTAAACACTTACCATGCTGTTTGGCAACACAGAATACATCAATGTTATGTCTGTTGAGGTTAAGATTGCCAAATCACTAGAATTCACAAGGGGAATATATCTGCCCTGTAATAAAGACCATGGACTTGATTTCATCTCATTTTTAAAGCATTAGCAGTCAATAAACCAGTCACCACTAAAAGGTAGCAGTGGGCTTTGCTTTGGTGGAAAAAAAAATCTCTTCTGTATCCTCAGGTGTAGTGGAGAGTTCATTAAACATAATGCCTCTTTTTCATTTTTTGCCTTTTTAAATTCTCTTTTGATAAAATGTTATGTGGCAAATGAAATCTGTCAGAACATTTTATGCAATGGTCTTGACATGCACCATTCATCCTGTTTTCTGGGAACTTCTCAAGTGCTCTTTACATCCTGCGTGCACACTTGGCTGGAGAGCAACGAAATAGGAAAGATAAACAGAAGGCTCCCATCCCATCCAATGTCTTATTCAAAGTCACAGTGCAACAGGCTAAAATGGGTATCTCTGTTAATTTTGAGTTCAAAAATAGTAAACAAATTCCACATTTGAAAAACAACTTAACCAGTACTGGCTAAAGCTGGAGAATTTCATTTTTATGTGATGGACTCGAATCTAAAATGTTGGGATCTTTCTCTGCCGACTATACCTCTATGTAGGCATAAGACTGAGGTTGAGTAAAAAGGCAGAAGTGACTTTTTCTCTGAAACTATTCCTAACACCCTTTCTGATCTATACGTAGGAAAGCACATGCCCCGTTTGTTGGTAGACATTTGTTTTTACCAGTGAAGACATGGCGCTTTATGCTGTGTATAGAAATCTCTGTCCATGTCATTTTCCCCTTCCTTTTTCCTTCTTTTCTTTCTCTTCTCTCTCTTCTGCTTCAGCTTTACTAGACTTGACTGCACTTATGCATATATAATGGTACTCTGGATGGACTGAGTTGAAATAATTTTCTTTATACCTGAATTTCCTTCAAATTAACTATCAAATACTCTGGACTTAGTAAATGAACTCTGCTGGAATACTCATGTCACTTTAAAAGAAAAGACATACTTTAGTTCCATAGTCTGTACAATCAAGATGAACTAGGCGTGGCCAAGCTCTTCCCTACTCCAGCTGTCTGAACTTCTCAATGCTCTTATGTTCAACAGACAAAGTAATAATCTACCTCTTAAGGGTGTGGTGATTTCTAAAATACATCTAAGATGCAAAGCTCTAGTGCTGAGCAGATTCATGTTTAATGACAAGAGTAGCATAAATAGACAATAATGATTATTGTGTTATTACAATTATTATTATTTGGAAATGACAACTTTTATATTGCCATATGGTTGTACAAAGCATTTTGGGTTCAGGAGATATGTAAGCTACAATTCCTGAGCCATGAATATTGTAATCTTGGATCAGGATTTTTGCAATCTATGAATGTAAACTGGCAAAACTAAATTTAGTTTTCAAAAAATTGAATCCGTACAATTTTTGGCAAACAGCCCTAAAATTCCTCTGAGTCAAAGATGTATTTTCAACCAGTTGATTTAAAATTATGTCAGTGCAACTACCAAAATTTGACCAGACTAGAAGTTCTGTAAAGAGAAACTCCTGCTATCACTTCTGAAAAAGACTATCAGTACCCTTGTCATCTGCCTTAAGCCCTTTTAACTGAAAAGCAGTCACCAAAATGGCTTTTATGGTAGTCAGCCTAGTCTGGAAATTTAACCTGACTGTCCCTCTTCTTCAAGAAAGGAAGATCTACAACAATGTAAAAGAAAACAAGATACAACAGAGCTCCTCTGAATAATCATGAAAGACTCACCTTATTTCACTTTCCCTGATACAACCATGACCACCAGCCCACCCGCCTACATGTCTTCTAACCCACTGCTCACAGGCTTCCCCTGCAGGCTCTGAGGAACATGGCTGAAAGTTAGTTACACTCTTGGAAATGGACTGAGATTGTTCCTTCTCCAAGTAAGGTGACACGTAAATTCAGGTTACATTATAGAGCACTTGAGTTTCTATGAAGATTTTCAGGTAGATTCTTCATTTT